ATGTAGATTGAGCCTTCCTATCAAAGCAGCCACTGTATATGGGCACATTAGCCCGCACTTGACTTCCCCAGCGTTGGGGGCAGGGGCCGAGGGATATTGTCGTGGTATACCCTTTGGTTTCTTTAGGATAATATAGCATGAGAACGTATTACCTACTTAAAATATACGCGTCAATATGAAATAAAGAAATAATAAGTATTGTTCTCAGAATGGGGAGTAGGGAACTTCAATAGGGGTCATTAATGTTATAAATTCAGTGGTTCCCTTCACTTGCTTCCATTTTTTCCCACTTTCCCACCTGTCTTGATTGTTAATATGTTCTTTAAAATATTATCAGAATCCTTTTATATTTAATATATTGTTCTTCAGTGTAATTGAGACTCTTTCCACCACCACCCCCCGCCCCCCAACATTGCCAGGACTGGCAAAGTCATCATGGGCCACAGTCACAATTCCGCCACTGACTTACTGCTTGACCTTGGACAAGACACGGTGACTTCCTTTGCCTTAATTTCTTCATCTGCAACCTGAGGAGTCTGAACTCAAAGCTGTCTTAGGCCCCTTCTTGGAAATAAAATCCTGTGATTCCTCAACCCGATCTTTCTCTTAGAAGGTTTCCTATATTGTCATCAATCCTAAGTCATAAAGACCCCGTGTCCTAACAAAATTCCTGAGAAGTAAAATAAGGGTGGGATTATTAATACTCTGAGTAACAGTTAATAAACCACTTTTTACTATAGATACACATTTGATGCTTCTTACAACCGACCAGCGAGTACAGCGCAGGTATTGCCCTTCTTAGCTGAGGAAAGGGAGGCCTTAGAGAGGTCAATTTATCTCCTTAGGCCTTGCAGCTAATAAGTAGAGAGCTAGAAGATCACAAATTAATTATTATTTTTTTATGACGGAGACAACTGTATATGTAAAATAATTTGAATATAAAGAATAGTCTTTCGAGAGCAGCAGATTCTTTTCTAAACATTTTGAGGTTGTCATTCCCCCTCGGCAGATCATTCCCGAACCATAAAGCACTAACCAGGGTTAGAGATAAGAAAGACTAATACACAAAAGAGAGCTAGTGTCCCTCCAGACTAGCTTGGGAAAGCGCTTCCCTATAGACGAGGGGCCCTCCCATTACATGATTTATTTCCCCAGGGACCAGTCTCATCCAAGCATCAACAATGCAACACAAAATACTACGTTCATTTTTAAAAATATTATTATAGTTAGTATCCAAATATATGATTTATGCCAACCAAAATTAAAGAAAAAATTCATCCACCGTCCCAGTCACATCAGCAAATCAAACCTCTTCTCCTGTATTCCCTGCCAACTCTCGTCTTGATACATATATGAGTTTTTACTGGTTGTACTCACAGTGTGGACATGTATTTTAAAGTATCAGGAACCCAGAATTTTCGTAAGAGGAAGTCTCAATTTTAATAACTGTCTTCAGATTATTTTTTTCATCCCAACTGAGTTTGTTTCATGTTTGCTCATTGTTTTATCTCGAATTTATGGTTTTTTTCCATCAGAAGTACAAAAAGTATACAACCTGGTTTTAAGGAGATTTGGGGGCGTTGTTTTCAAATAACATACAGCAGAGAATGTTATTATTTTTATATCCTCTACCAAGACTCCTGAAACTAAACACATGCCTGGCATCTTTTCAAAATTTCTAGGCTTTTGAGTGACTGAGGGACTGCTCCGAGGTAGGAGGCTGAAACGATGACAGGTTTTTCTCAGCTTTTGGACCCCTTGATTCTACGACAGTTCTTGGTAGATACAGCTTTCCTGGTAAGGATTGAACAAGAAGTCTGCACAATTACTTTGAGTCTTAATAAAGTTGGAGTTTCCTGTTGAGTGCTAGAAGGGGTTGAGGTGGGTGGTAGTAAGAACGCTCGTTTTCCTGCTTAGTGGATATGCCACGGGCTTTATAGCTTGTGTTGTCCTGTGGTAACTGAAGCCACACTGTTGCCATGGAAAAGGATGGTAATTTGAATGAGACAATTTAGAGTGGCCCATGGAAATCTGACTGGACAGCTGCTGAAAGCACCAGACCTAGTATGTGTGACACCGCACCTATCTCTTCAATTCCCTTCAACTGAAATGACCAATAAGTGAGAAACTAAATTGTAATTTGATGGCTTAATCTTAAAAAAATCAATCTTTGTAAAAATACTAAATAAGGAACAATTCAGAAGAATTAGGACTATTATAGAAATATTATGATTACTTGAATAGCACTTATATTGCCGTCGCAGAAGGTACAGCAGGCCCCCAAACTTTAATCCAATTTCCGACACCAAAAATTCTAAATCCAGTCTCCTTCAGTAGTATAGGGTTTATTCCCATTGATTTCTCGCATTTGTGAGGCTGTCACAGTCGGTTGGTTTTACCTGCCACGAAATCCTTTGTATCCCTTTTATAAAACACCACCTCTTTCTATAAAAAGTGACTGGAAGAATCCACAATCGTAAAATTGCACGTGCCTGAGCAGAAAACTCCTATCTTGGGATTTTCTCACAGGCGTGCCTAAACCGACCTCTGCTCCTGGAAGGTAAATTGCCATAGGGAGAAGCCAGGGTCAGCCCACAGGAAACCCTGTTGCAGGATTTCTAATTTCCCCCTTAAGCTGATCACTTTTTTAGGAGTTCCCGGGCATTCTCTAGTCCAAAGTCCTGGCCACCACATAACCATCATTTTTTTTTTTTTTTTTTTTTTTTCCTTTT